ACGTCAAGATACCGTAACCACCACTGGCATGAGCAATTTTTGAATGAGATTTTAACTAACTAAAATATACACAAGGAAAATGACACCTGGTCAACTTTGAAGAAAAAAAAAACATCGTTGGCAGACTTTTGAGAATGTTAAGTGCTAAGGAAATGTTAAATCTTAAAACTGTTCAGACCTAGGTTTTTCATTAGAATATTTCATTGGATTTTGCAAATATGATCTATTTTAATGTCGAATATGTCAAGTTTCAAGAACAATCAAATTTTTAAGCAAGGTCGAAATCTATAATATTTTACCCAAAACAGAGGGATTTGTTGGTAAAAACTACCGGGTAAAAGGTATTTGGGGAAAGGCCAATGAGAAGTCATGGATACACAATTTATTGGTATCCCCACTGGGTGTGCCGTATTATGTGTACTTGATAATTTGTTAATTAACTATGAATTTTTATTTTTTTTTTAAAGCAAGCATTTTTTTTTTAAATATTTAAAAGAATATGAAAAGAAAATCTATTCATATTTGCATTAACATAATGAAAAAAAAAATGTGTACGAAGAGTCCATGTTTTGTTGATACTTATACAATTTAACAATTATAAAAAATAAAAAATAAAACCCGCCCACCCGCCCCGATTTTTTAGCAAATTAGGATGAGAATCTAAAGATTAATTTTATGTGGCCTTACCCCAAACTGTTAAACAGTATTCAATTGAAGGCAGTATATAAGCATTATAGAATAACTTTCTTGTATTTAATGGAAGATATTTCTTAATTCTTCGTAATACAGATATCTTTGCAGATACGGATTTACAAACAGCATCGACATCTGTATTAAAATTAAGTGAATTATCTATATGAAAACCAAGTAGTTTTTCATGTGTGACACTCTCAAGAAAATGATCTGAAATTTGTAAATTTAGATTTTGGTTCGTCAGTTTTGATCGTCTCTGATGTGTGCCTATATGCAATTTGTTTTACTTGTATTCAAAATCATCTGATTCTGAGAACACCATCTTTCTATATTTCTTATGTCCGAAGATAACATATTTTGAATGGAAGAAACATTACTGTGAGAAAAGTGAAGAGTGGCGTCATCCGCAAATAAGTCAATGCTTGATTTCTCTATAAATAATGGGAGATCAATGATGTAAAATAAGAAAAGAATTGGGCCTAAAATTGATCCCTGTGGCACTCCCGCTGTGACTAACTGTTTTCCAGATTTAATATTTCCAAGTTGAACACTCTGAAATCTACGGTTTAAATATGAGTCAAACCATTGTATTGCTTTGGGGTCAAAATTACAGCAACGTAGTTTCTTAATCAAAATATCATGATTAACAAGATCAAAAGCCTTGCTGAAATCAAGAAAGGTTACGCCGACAAGTTCACCAGTATCCATTGCGTGTAACCATTCATCAATTAATTTAGTAAGAGCAGTTTGGCATGAGTGAGATTCCCTGAAACCTGATTGTGACTTGCAAAGTAAATCGAAATCTGATATGAAATTACGGATATGATTAGCAACATGCTTTTCAATTAATTTCGACAAAGTGGGGAGGATAGATATTGGCTTATAATTCCCGGGATCAAGTCTATCTCCTTTCTTGTGTATAGGTGTTACCTTTGCAGATTTCAATTCATTTGGAAATATTCCCGTAGAAATACTCACATTGATTAAATGAGTGATAGATTTGTATATGGCTGGTGCAGCATGTTTTAGTAGGCATGGACCTATGGTATCGATACCAGCCGATTTATTTACATCAAGTTTGTTTAGTAAAGCTAACACGTCATTTTTGGTGTATAAGGGGAATGCTAAAATTATTACCACGTTTAAGCTTGGTTTTTGTAAATTGCATTAATTTCTCGCAATCAAATCTGTCTGTGCGATATTCGAGATAAGCTTTTCCGATATACCTGTAAAATGATTGTTAAAAATCTCAACAATTTCATGCGTGTCCTCAGTGGTGTTATTATTGTCAGATATAGACATTGGTACAAAATTATTTGATTTTGATGCTAGTTTATTTAATGTCTTCCACATTTCTTGTGGATTTTTGCTTTGCTCTATAGTTGACCTATAATATTTGATCTTTGCGCTGTCTATAAGTACTGTGACTTTGTTTCTCCAGATTCGGAAGTTTTCAAAGTCACCATAATGTTTATAATACTTCTCGTGTTAACCATAATACTCGTCACAATAGTTCAGATGAACATATGAGATCAGATGGTTTTACATTTAACACATTTAATATGTCAGATTTTAGTAGACCTATATTAAGGTTAGAAGATACTTCTTCCGTTGAGTGTAAGGCAATGAAGAAAACTTGTCTTTGTTTTCAAAGTTTATTAAATGAATCCAAGTTTACAATTTCTCTGTGATCGTATAGTTTTAGAAATATTCGTTCCTGAAATATGATCAGAAAAAACCAATACACTTTTTATATAAATGTTCAAAAGGTCCGTTCAAAATGCAAAGAGCTGAAGACAGAACTACCAATAAATAAATAAACAAAAGTCCACAAAAATGATTCCCAAAATAATGAAGTGCAAGAGAGTAGGGATAATTTGAGAATAAGACCGGGAATACTCTTTTCCAAAACAGGGTATTTTGTGCTCAGTGGGTATCAATGGTCCCGGATATAAAAATGCATTTCATTGGCTAATTCACCATGACCAACCACCTACGCTTTGTCCGTAGGTCTGTTCGTTGACCTATGAACCCCAACATGGCACCACCCTCAAATGCAGGTAAATAGGTGTTACTAATATTTATGGGCTCAGTCCCCATCTCTGCACCACAGGAGTTAATTCTAGCCCTAAGCTTTTACTTATTTACTTCAAAGTTCCCAATTTTATTGCTCTTAGTCAAAACTCTTAATAATACCATTGTATTTTCGTTCAAATTTTATTACTTACTATCGATGGGCTTGATTGGTCTATTCGGTTCAATTTCATTACAAAATGATCTACCAAATTATAGTGCATCGGAACAACAACAAAATCCAATTTGTTTTGACAAGATAATAATTGTATACAAAATTAAACTCCTTTTTCCAATTATAAAGTCACCGAATTTGCGTCACTAATAATATTCATTCTGATTTAATAAACCTTTATATCATTTTTCTTCCACTGCTAATAACTAAAATGATTATGATATTCATATTGTCTAAGTGTAAAATGTTCAAACAATATGTCTATGCTAAACCCTATAAGTTTAGATGACCCTGGATATCAAATTCAGGACAGTGGTTCTTTTAATTCAATATCGAGTACAAATTTATTCGAAATGCGTGATAATTTGTCGCGAGATTGTACATCAAGCCCGTCTACTATTCAGCAAGGTATAAGACGTTCCACTAGAGTTAAAAATCCTCCTAATAGATATGGACAGTGGATTACAGGTGAGCATGAGGCTCAAGTATGGTATGTCTAGGAGGAGAATGCCACAGGAAAAATCTCACATGGATTACTTAGAGTTCAGATAGTTAGTTGTATATAGTTTTATGACGTAGTATTATTATAATATATCTGAAGTTTGTAGAGCTAAGATGTACTGATAGTTGATAGTTTTATGACTTATGTGATCATTTTACTTATATTTTATGATACATTATTAATCATGGATTGCTTTTCAGCTTAGCCATTCATGATGCCAGTTTTATGACAATTATACAAACATGAATTGATTGAATTATTTTGTATTTCAGCTTGTGCTAATACAAAAGGCTTTTTTTCTGCTACAAAGCAGAGGATGTTGCAAAACAATAGCAATCCTATGTGTGTTGATATATTTTGATATTTATTGTTTTTATTTCAGTTGATATATTTTGTACTATACTATTTGATGAAATGTGAGGACACGTTTTTCTCAAAGAGGAGGATGTCACAGGGTGAATTATAAATAATTAATTAATATTACTATTTATCATTCATATCATTTTCATATCTTATGATAAGGCATCGTATTATAATCATTCATACGGTTGAGTGGTTAGTGAGAGTATCCGAGTGTGTGGGTGGTCAAACTGGTTTTTCTATATGTCTCCTGCGCATTCGCGCCAGTACTAATTCACGGACACTCCAACCTTAAGCTTTGGGGAGGGAAGACGCTCTCTCTCCTAAACACAAATTATTTCATGATATTGTGACAAACTGAGGCTAGGATTACGGTAAGGAATAATTGACAAATTATTTCTTTGTCCATAATTATTCATTATCTATTTGATCATTCTATTTAACTGAAGTGATATTCTAAATTATCTAAATTCCTAATATTTAATTAATTCGCGTAAAAGTGCGTGTGAGGTGAGAAATATTAAATACATGTTGTATTATATTTCAGGTCACCCTCTTCTTTTTCTGTATTACGTATAAAATATATGAAACAGAATAGAACCCAGCAGCCGTATTTGTGCTCATTATTACAACTACAATACCTAGACTAGGCTGTGACATATATATATATATATATATATATATATATATATATATATATATATATATATATATATATATATATATATATATATATCAACAATAAAACACCTAGATAAGTATTAACAAATCTTTACAGAACATTATTTGGCTGAGAACAAAGAAATTATTATCTTGAGCTCCTTGACGATTAAGAAGTACAAAGAAAATCCTGTGTTTTCTCATACCGCTTACAAGTGGACTTTTGCGAGAAGCGCCAACTTTTATAGTTGACAGTTTATCTTTACACTAGAACAATTACGGAAGCTCCTTTACGATATAAATCTATATCTTGACATTTATTTGAACGAGTTGCCCTTGAAGAAAAAAAAAAAAAAACTACCCTCCCCCTAACTCCCGATTTTCACATATTAACACCCCAAAAACCATACCCATGACCACTAGAAATTATTTTTTTAAATCTATTATAAAGTCTGTAATAATACTTTGGTACAAGATACAGGTTTAAAAGTCTTTTGTCATTTGTAACAGTCTGTGCCTATCGCAAAATTCCTGTGTTTACATGTCATAAATTCCTAAAATCTTGTATATAGCTATAATGATTCTGACTATTGTAGCAATTTGTATTTGGGGTCCTCCTTGCTGTTGCAGTGATTGTTGATAGGAATAAAGAGCGTCCATAGTGTACCCCAACATCTGTTGACAATTGCCAAGAATCTCCCAAGATATGCCTCTCGTTGATTCAGGAAAAATATCTGGATGAGAGTTTATTTGGGATTGTAGTACAAATAGAACAGACATTGCATCCACCAAATTTGTTTGTTTGTAACACAAGAACTCTAGCAGTACTATCATGACATGGGGAGGAATGAGCAGGAAAGATGGTCGTTTTTGTTGAAGACACTGTTCCAACCTCAGTTCATTTAAATAACATATGTTTTTCAAAAGTTTAATATCTTGTGTCACAACTGGTTTCATTTGTTTAGGCAGGTTCCTAGGATGTATACATGGTTTTTCATTATAGATGAGGTATTCATGGTCAAACCTTTTCATTGTCATCTTTAGAACAGATAAAGCTTTCACATGCCTTGATGTTTTGTAATAATACATTGCAATGTATAATAAATCGGAATCAAAACCAAACTTGACTGCCAACTTCAGCAGCTGAATGGAAATTTTGTCAGCAATATACTTAATTTTGTTCACTTTGGTAGCAGTGTACATGTTGAACATAAAAGCAATGCACTTAAGTATGAAGGCAGTCCGTTTCTGTAACATAGCTACATGATTCTGGGTCAACGGTAAATTGACCAACTGTTCAACTATCTTTAATAGATTAATACACCACCTGAAGCTATGAAGTCCATGTGAATCATTTTGAGAAACCTCCGACAACAGTTCTAAGAAAAAGTCGAACTCGGTCACCAATGACCGTTCATCTGTAGAAACTCTGAGTGTTGGGTTTTCAAGTACAACTTTGAGATGTTGACCAATGGACGGACTGTGCAGGAGAGATTCCAAACCACTCTCATACAACGTATACAGCTTTTGGAATAAGGTTCTTTGTGAATTGCCATAAATTTTTGTCAGAAACATATTGTTTTCTGGGATGAAAAAGTTTGGACATATTCCCTCATACACCCATTTAAGAATATGTTTAAAGCAGACCCAGAAACACTGCAGGAGATTTTGAGGGTTCCAATAGGGCATTATGTTTTCCTGAAGCACCCAGAAAACGGCTGTCTTCATGTGGTAGGAACATAACAATTTTCCCTCTTCACCCAACCTTGAAGAAATAACTTCCTTTAAAAACAACTTCAGTAGTCCATAAACTAAGAATTGAATATGACTCATTGAATAAACAAGTTTTAACTCAGCAGTACAGAAAGAAATTCTCCATTCAGTGTTTTCATGATTTCCAAGTTTATGTCCTATTGCCGCAAAGTGGCAACCGTTTGTGACAATTTCATCTACTACACTTGGATGAGGCCACGAGTGACATCTTTCTATCCAGGAAGAGGCGGACGGAGGCCAAAAATCGCTGGCATAACAAGAGGCTCTATCATATTCTATCATCCCAAGTATAACGCCACTGCTACATGGCCCATGTTCAAAAGATCCAGGAAGTTCCATTTCTAATATTCTGTTCAGAGAGCTAGACAAGTATAATTTGTCATTTATCCTGATTAAGGGTAATTTCAAGTAATCTGTAATGACTGGCGTTGTGAGTGACTGTAATAATGTATATCCCGGTGGACTATCAGAACTGTCTGCGAGAATCAGAAGTTGTCTCATTCTGTAACTCCTAGCCTGGTTTAAGTCCCAGATCACTCGGAGGTGATTAGACCACGACATTATGTCCCTGTCTGACCCTAACAGTCGAAACCCCTCCCTGTGACTCCCAGTTCCCACTATGGTTATGTAATGGTGTCTCATTGCTTGTTTTCTCAGTATTTCAGTAATATCTATAATGTCTCGCCTCATTGCTACTTGTTTTGAAGTTCCTATAATACGACACAGCCCTAGAAATACCGACTCAGACAGGCGTTGTGCATTTGTATCCACTTCACTGACAAAATAGAATTATGGTCTCTTTTTTTTAAAAATGTTAATTTACATTAAAAATGTTAATATACATTTTTATTAGATTACTGTATATTGATTAACTAATTCTAACAAAGATACGCATTTTACAAATGTCCAATAAATATTCTGGAAGAGTTGAAGGTTTATGTTGGTATTATAAATATTTTAATACTTCCCAAATAAATGTTTATATTTGTTTGTACGACTTTCGAAAATTTTATTTCAACGATTTGGATGTTAAGAAATATTAAAATCATACCTTGGATTGATATAAGACGCCATTATTCATTTCAATAAAATGAATGTCGTAGTTAACCGTATGAAAATATATACCTAGGAAATTCCTAAATGTCGAGTTATTTATTATCTCAATGTCATTTAATCGATTTCTTTACCTCCAGGTAACTGGAAAAATCATTAAAATCGTACTACATCAAATATGAGCTAATTTTATCATTCAATAAATTCACCTTGTCAGACCATTATTTTATTATGTTCACATTATACAGACCTATTTTTGTATTCAAATGAAACAGAATTTGCTCAAGATCTGATATGGCTTGCATTTCAACATTTTTTTTGCGTTTGCTTTGCTCAGATTTTGTATTGTTTTATGAACTTCACTATTGAATATTCGTTATTTCCATATTCTCCGTTCCCACGTTTTTGTGATGATTGCTTTCGAATTAGAAATAAAAGATATCATGGAGTCTGATATATCTGTTTTATATTTAGATATTTTTACAAAAAGCATTACCAAATCATTTCAGAACATTATTTGGATGAATATTAATACCAGTAAAATAATTGGGAGAAAACCGTATATATTTCCATATAGCTGACATGTATTCACAAGTGATAAATTCCTAAAATCTTGTATAAAGCTATAAGGATTCGGTGGTTCAGTCACATGATCTGGACAAAAGTTTTTTTTGAGTTTAAGTTGAAATAGAGCAGACCTTGCCTCCACCAAGTGTGTTTGTTTTAACAAAAGAACTCCAGCAGGTGAAATATTACAACGTGAGGAATGATAAGGAGAGGTTGTATATTGTGCTGAATAATCTATTCTAATCTCAGTTCATTTAAATAACAAATATTCTTCACAAGTTTAACATCCTGTGTAACAACTGGTCTCATTTGTTTGGGCAGGTTCTTAGGATGTATGCGTACATTTCCATTACAGATGAAGTATTCATGTTTATACCTTCTCCTTGTCAACTTTAAAACAAATTAAGGTTTCATATTATACAGTTATTGACTGGGTATGAGGGCAACATATGATTTGTTGGACCTGAAGGTGAAAATGTTGCCCGAGGCCGCAGGCCAAGGGCAACATTTTCATCTTTAGGTCCAACAAATCATATGTTGCCCGAATCCCAGTCTATAACTGTTTTGTTATACCCTTCACTGCTCACTTAAGATTAATCAATTTTATCAATACACGCTTTACTATCAATTATTTTATATGGAAAATTATGGCTTCTTCAGTAAATATAAAACATCAAGCTGAGAAAGAACAAAATCAATTATAAATCTATTATATCACAAAAATTATTTATCACAAAACATACTCTTCCCTTCTACCTTACCTTGCTGTTAGCAACAACTCTTTTAAAATAGATCCTAACTTCTGCTATTTTCGCGTCGCCGATATTGAACGATGATTATTAATTGTGACGTAACAGACAAGTGACGTTGCGGTCTAACAATTCTTATGTAAGACCGGTCAATAGTGAAATTGTTAGACCGACGTAATAAACATTTCTTTTGTTGGACTTTTTATTAGTAATAAATATATAGAAGGATATTTATAAGGGTATAACAAACCTATATAGATGTTTTATAAAAATACATTGCAATGTATAATAAATCGGAATCAAAAACAAACTTAACTGCCAACTTCAGCAGCTGAAGGGAAATTTTGTCAGCAATATACTTAATTTTGTTCACTTTGGTGGCAGTGTATACGTTTAACATAAAAGCAATACTTTTAAGTATGAAGGCAGTCCGTTTCTGTAACATAGCTACATGATTCTGCGTCAATTGATGAATTGTTTAATTTTTTTAAAGAGATGCATAAATAGACTAAAGCGTTGAAATGGATATACATGTACATCATTTTGATAAATCTACAACAACAGCTCTAGAAAAATCTCAAACTCAGTCACCCATGACCGTTCATCGGTAGAAACTCTGAGTTTTGGGTTCTCTAGTACAGCTTTGAGATGTGGACCAATGGACGAACTATGTTGGAGAGATTTCAAACGACTCTTAATACAACGTATACAGCTTCTGGAATAAGGTCCTTTGTGAATTGCCATAAATTTTTGAATGAGTTTGGACATATTCCCTCAAACACATATTTAAGGATAAATCTGTGGACTCCAGCTGAGTATTATGTTTCGTTGAAGCACCCAGAAAACGGCTGTCTTCATGTGAAAGGAGCTCAGTAATTCTACCTCATCACCCAACCTGGGGAAAATAACTTCCTTTAGGAAAAATTTTAATAATGCATTCATTAGGTTCATGGTTTCCTAGTTTATGCCCTGTTGCTGCAATGTGGCAACCATTTTTTACAATTTCATCTACAACACGAGAATGTGGCTACGAGTGACATCTTTCTATCCAGGAAGAGGCAGATGGCAAAACAAGAGGCAAAATCATAATATACCTTATAACTATAACACCACTGCTACATGGCCCGTGTTCAAAAGAACCAGGATACCGCATGTTTATTCTTCTGTACACAGAACTAGACAGATAAAACCTGTCTTTTATTTTGACAAAGGGTGATTGTTTGTGATTTCTGAAGACTGGACGTGTGATTAACTGAAATAAAATATAACCTGGTGGACTATCTGAACGGTCAGCAAGAAGCGGGACTTGTTCCTTTTTTACAGTTCTGAAGCTGGGTATTTTAGAGTACTCGGTGGTCATTTGGCCACGTCATCGAATCCCTGTCTGCCTTGGGTGATTCTTCAAACAGCCTGAATCCCCCTCTCCTTCCAACTCCGACTGTTGTTGAGTGTTCACTTTTCATCCTTTGTTTCTGTAAAACATCCAATATATCCATCAGTCTCGTCGCATTGCAGCCCGGAGGACTGGGCTGCTCTTTACATATAAGTTTAAGTGTTGGTGTATAGGGATTGAGGTGGGAGAAGTTATTCAGAATTAAAGGTTTTCTAAACATTAAAAAGACTGTTGATCAGAATGTTTTCCCTTGATAAATTACGAGATACATTATATATTTACTTCCATGTTTTGATATTTAATATATGAAGTTGCTTATCATTTACTATAAAAAAAACGACAGGTTCCTTTTTTGGAACATCGAATTTTACTTATCGCATAAAAACGTACTCTACACACATGACACAGTTCGTGTTTTATATTCTAAAACTGAAATGCATTTTTGAAAATAGGTGATGCATGAGTCTAATTTCCATTAATATTTTATGCAGCTAACATTTACTTGATACACTGATAAAATTTTAAAAGGGTATTGCTTTTGTTCAATTTTCACTGATAATAAGTTTTTAAAATATTCTCAACTACCGTCTCCATCATTTAGATGCATGCCATTTTCACACATATCGAAGCGCTTTAATGATCAAGACTTATTTCCATTGTTTACTTTATTTATTTCCCGGGCGACAAATGATGGTTACATCAATGTTTTCTTGTTGATACTTGTGAAGTTTCTTTAATACGAGACATCCCTGCAAATACCGACTAAGACAGACGTTGTACATCCATATCACTGACAAAATAAAAGCATGTTCTCCTTAAACATTTTTACTGCAATTGCTGATAGATGGTTATGAATCTTATACAGGCCCAATAAATATAAGTTTTATGATTTTTTTATTTGTTTGCATGGCTTTCCAAAATTCTACTTGACTGGCCTAGAAAGTAAAAAAAGGGGTTTAAATCATACCTTTGTTTGAAATAAAGGGGCATCTTCCCTTGATCATTGTGAGAATATGCCTTTGACATTTCTAATGTCGACGCAGGGGGAATAAGGAAGCATACAAAATATTCTACCTTGACTAAATCAGTGCTACATTACGAGTAGAGGGCGAGATGACGTCAATTCTAGAACACAGGGTTTTCGTAATATTGGTATTTACAGATGTAATTTAACTCTAGAAAATGAATAGAAACGTGTAAACATTAACAAAAATGAAATGTTCTTATTTTGTTATGCTGTTTTTTGTCATTTTGATTAAAATCTACCATCGATGACGTCATATGTAACTTTGGAATTTATCATGTCGTGTAAAGAGAATTTGGCTAAGACGGCATGTACAAAGATAAGTCAAATGGAGTTTAAAAGCAAATATCGTGAATATTTTGTTAAATTCATATGGTGTTCTGTCAACAAAATGGATATTCTAATTTATTTTCATCGATTATATTTTCTTTCGAAGACAGTTAACTATATATACGTATCTTGGTAAGCCTTTCCTCTGTCATTTGTGACAAAAATAATGCAATAATTCGATCAGTTGTTATCCCTTTTCGATAATTTGTTATTTGTATTCGATAAATTTCTATTCACATTGGAGGAAATTGAATACGATTCCTATATCACGATATATCATTCTTTTTGAAAACACGCGTTTCCAATTCGACGTCATTCATATTTGAAAACATACAATCTCTATTTGCTAATTTTGTCATTCCTATTCAATAATTCTATCTTTCTTATTCGATAATTATATGGTTTCTTTGCAATAAAGTTTTTGTTCGCAAACATACTAGCATCAATTTCTATTCGAAAAAATACGATTCCTGTTCGATAAACTTCTTAACTTATTGCATAATTTTATCTCTCCTATGCGATGATTTTCTTATTATTTTTCAAAAATATCATTCTGCGACATACAACAAAACTA